CCCATCCTCTTCATCCTCCTCCTCCTCCTCCTCCTTTGCCTCCTCCTCCTTCTCCTCCTCCTCCTCCCCAGCCCACGATCAGGGATGCAGGTCGGCGACTCCAAAGTGACTACCTACCAAACCACCCCAAGCCAACCCGAAGACCCGAACTTCGGGTTGGGGGTGGGTACGGGCTCCATATGTGTGTTTTCTCAACGTTCCCCGATCCCCCCCAGCTGGAAATGGACGGCAAATCGGGGCCTTCGGGTTGGGTTGGGGTGGTTTGGTCGGCGACTCCAAAGGGTGCGGTTTGCAAAGGGTGTGGTTTGCAATCGGCACCCTGGGGGGCACCATGGGGGGCGGGCGGGTGCCTCGAGAGAGTTCCCCGCCGCGCCCCGAGGAGGCCCAACGAGGACAGTGTCGTGCCCTCCAGGCCCCCACGGCGCCGATCGCAAACCGCACCCTGGCGTAACCGCACCCGTTGCAGTCGCCGAGCAAGGGCCCAGGAGGGCCATGTCGACACTCTGCGAGCGGGGAGCGGCCAGCGCAAGCGGCCGAGGATGGGCCGAAGGGGGAGGGATGCACAGGCTACCGTGGGAAGTTGCTCATCCTCACTGTGCGGGTTGACCGTGCAGGGCGCACAGGGCCCGTCGCGCAGGAAGGCCTCACGCTGCGCTCCCAGTTTTGCCCAAGAGGCCCGGTAATAACGGGCCGCGGAGGCCGCAACAGAGGAGCGGCGCTGCGGCTGAACAGGCCGCACATGACCGGGGGCCCGGCTTGCCGGCCACTCGGGCACCCCGGAGCGCTGCTGGCGGGTCGCAGCTGCTGGTGGGCACCCCGGGGCGAGACTGCCTCCAGGAGCCAGCGAGACCTCCCGAGGGCTCGCGGAGGCAAGCGAGGAGGAGGAAGAGGAGGAGGAGGAGGAGGAGGAAGAGGAGGAGGAGGAGGAGGAGGAGGAGGAGGAGGAGGAGGAGGAGGAGGAGGAGGAGGAGGAGAGGAGGAGGAGGAGGAGGAGGAGGAGGAGGAGGGGGAGGAGGAGGAGGAGGAGGAGGAGGAGGGAGGGGAGGAGGAGGAGGAGGAGGAGGAGGAGGAGGAGGAGGAGGAGGAGGAGGAGGAGGAGGAGGCGCTCTGGGAGCCCGGGTGCCGTCTCGAACTCGAGGGTGGCGTAGAAGAGCAGGCAGCGGCTGACCTCGGCGCCCGGGGCCGCGAGGGGAGCTGAGCAGGGCCCCGCCGTCCTGGCAACTCCCTGTGGTCCTACCTTTAAGTCGGGCCTGTCCCCCTACAAGGGGATTTTCGACGAGAAAAAAAATACCCTACAAATCCGCCGGCCCCCTTGTGGGGCCACCAGGCTGTAGGCGCGGGTTTGCAGTTTCCTGTACCAGTTGTAGCTTGTAGTTTCCAGTGTTACAGTTCTGCTTCTTGCTGGTTACTGTAACTAGTTGATTGACCGCGCGAGGGGGGGGGAGGCCCAAACCGGCTTTTTAGCACCCCCTGGGCGCGTTGTCTGAATTGCTGGGGGGGCTCGAAATCGACACCCCTCACGCAGATCCGCGGGGTCAGGGTCCAAAAACACATGGGATTTGCCACATTTCTGAAATTCGGTGCCACCCCTCACGCAGATCCGCGGGGTCAGGGTCCAAAAACACAGGGATTTGCCACATTTCTGAAATTCGGTGCCACCCCTCACGCAGATCCGCGGGGTCAGGGTCCAAAAACACATTAGGGATTTGCCACTTTCTGAAATTCGGTGCCACCCTTCACGCACATCCATCGCAAGGCGTGGTAACCCAAACTGCGAGAACTCCCTCGGCCCTTTAATCGCAAGGTGTGGTAACCAAGCCCGTAAACCATACACGTCTTACCAATCGCCAGGTGTGGTAACCCCTCTTGTGATCAGTTGGTTTTGCTGATTGCGAATCGGCTTCGCATGAAGTTTCGATACTGCTTCACGACAGCGCCAAGGCCTCATGACTTAGCTCTTCCATGGCCCATTCTCCGAGAGAGGGGGCCGGCGGCAGGGGGCGAAGCCCTTACGGATAATCAAAAAAAAGTCCAACAATAGTCTGGGGACTTTGTTTTTCTTTTCTTTTTTTCGTTTAACCTTTTTGGTGTATGTTTGTTGTATTTTTTGATTTTTCGTCGAAAATCCCCAGGAGCGCCCCTGGAGCCAAGGGGCGCGCCGACAACGAAAGCAGTGCCCGTAGGGCATAGGACTGATGTGCTGAACCAAGGCTGCCTCTGGGAGAAAAAAACACACTGTGGGAACAAAAACGCACTGTGGGAAAAAAGAAACACACAAAACACACAGAAAAACACACTGGGGGAAAAACACACACACACAACACACACACACAAACAAAAAACACACACAACACACAGTGTGTGTTTTGTTTTGTGTGTGTGTGTTTTCCCACAGTGTGTGTATGTTTTGTGTTTTTGTTTTCCCATGCGCGACCTGCGAACATCTCGTGCCGAGCCGAGCCTCCCAAACCACAGGGGGGCGCCGAACCTCCCGGAGCGCGCCAAGGGGCGGCGACGGGCGCGCCGCCGGGGGGGCCCCAGCGCAGATCCAAGAAATTCGCACGGAGCTCTGAGCGATTGTGCTGTGTGATGGCTCTTCCTCTTGTTCTTCTTCTCCTCCTCCTCCTTCTCCTCCTTCTTCTTATCGTTATTACTATGCGTCGTCACACTCTTCTTCTTCGGCTGCCAGAAGTCAGGACGCTTCGCCAACTGGGGCAACTGCGGAAACCGAAAGGTTCCAATACTGCAACTTCCCTGTCCTCTCCCGGAGTGCGATCGGCCCAGAACTTCGAGGCGAATCCAGCGGTGGCGACGGGGGCCTCCAAGGAGGCCCCAAAAGAAGGAGAACGAGGGAAGGGTAGCAGTATCGACGCATTTCCCTCCTGCGAATTCCTGGAACTTCGTATTGGCGGACCTAGAGGAAGGTCAGGAGGAAGGAGGGGGAAGGAAAGAAGGAAAAGGCCTTCTCCGAAGGCTCGGAAGTTCCCCAGCCTTCTGAGAAGGTCCAATCCTTCCCCGAAGACGCGGGCAACTTCTCGGAAGGCGCCGGGGCGTCTGAGAAGCCCCGCGCGGCGAGGGGAACCGGTCCCGGGGGAGAGGTCGAGACTTTCAAAGCCGAAGTTGTGAGAAAGCCATGACGCCGGGGGCCTCCCTGTCCCCCAAGGCGCGTCTGCGCGTCGGTTAGACGCAAAACGACCTCTCTCCCGCTCTCTTCTCCTTCTCGTCCTCCTCCGCCTCCTCCTCGCTCCCTCCCAGCCTCCTCGCGCCCTCCTGCTGGCTCTCCCTCGTCAGCTTCATGCTTCGCTTTCCCCCTCCTCTTCCTCCTCCTCCTCCTCCTCCTACGTTTCTACGTTTCTCGCTATGCAGCGTCTTGTCGCGCGCCCCGCGGGCGCGGAGCGCTCTGCAGCGGCCCCCCAGGGCCGTGTGGGCACTCAGACAGCGGCCCCGGGAACCCGACCCCGAGGAAAGCAGGGAGCCAGGGACCAAATAATCAAAGAGAAGGGAGAAGGGGGGCCGGGTTTCAGCAAAACTAAAAAGATGAGGGCCCGTCGGGCCCTCAGCGGGCGCCGCGCTCGCCCATGCCAGCTCAGCCAGCTCGGCGCGCAGCCAGGCCTTCGGCCTCCTTGTGGGCGGTCGGCCTCTTGTGTGGCGGCTGGGCTCCCTTCGGCGCCTCGCGCTGAGCCCAGCCGCCCGGTCATCAGGTGGATGGCCGCCTTCTCTGCGGCGGCCTCCACCCTTCGGCGCTTGGCGCTGTGGAGGCCCGCCGAGCCTCTCTTGGACTTCGGCGTCTCTGCAGCAATCTCCTCGCCTGCCACGCGAGGGCGGTGGGGAGACCCCCTTCGGCGCCAGGCGCTGTGTCTCCTTCACCGCGGGGCAGGCTGCCCCTTCTGGTCGAGTACTCCATGGCTTCCAGTACTGCCTGACGTCGCAGAGCTGCACCTTGTAGGGCTCCATGTAGCGCCGCGGTGCTGCCGACGTCAGTCATGACCCTCCTGCTTTTGAAGGGCAGGGGGGTGCTGATCATCTGATGTTGTAGATGTCGATGTATGGGGGCTGAGTGCAGGATGTGGAGCGAGTTGGACGGTCGTTGGGGGTCGGTTCGTTGCTGGTGTTGTGTTGGTTGTGTGCTGCCAAGGCCTCCATGCACCGACTTCAAGTGGGGGTCGTTGCTGTCCCACCTCGTCCCGCTATGGCTAGGGGTCACGGTGCCCTCGGTGGGGGCGAACCCCAGGCCTGGTACTTGTTATCGTCGGAGTGGGGTGTCTCGGCTGTCCAGCTTCGCCCTCGGGCGATCGGGTAGCTCCTCCTTCTCCATGGGAATGGTGGGGGTGGCGAGCTAGGGCGGACCGCGGGGGCGCAGGTAGTGGCCGTCCTACCCCCCCCCCCCCTGCCCCTCACCATCCCCGCTGGCGGGCGCGGGAAGTACTCGCCCTTCCCCCCCAGCCCTTCGAGCCCGTCTCGAAGTTTGATCCTCACCAGGACAGCGTTGACTTGGCAGGAGTTGTGGGGGGTCGTGCTGGGTATGCTGTCGATGTCGGTCGGTGGTACCCTGACGGCCACTGGGCCGCCCGCTGCCAGCCAGCTGGCGCCATCCAAATTGTAGGTATCCAAGCCGCCGTGGTACACATCAAAACGTGGCGACTTGTGCCTGGGGTGTTCCCTCGCATTCGGGGCTTCCCCAGGTCTTGCGTTCTAGCAATAGCAAAACTTGGCGACGCTGCCTGAGGTCTTCCCACGCATTCGGGGCTTCCTCAGGACTTAAGCAGCACGCCGTAATGCCTGTCCAGGGCAAATAATCATATAAATCAATGCCAATGTTAGGAAAGTCGATAAATCCAGAAAGTGCTCGAGGGGGGGGCACGCTCCGTCGCCATTGAGGGATCGTGCCCACCCGTATGGGCGCTACGGGTCCCCCCCCCTCGAGTTGGCACGCAATCGTTGTCCAGGTCGCAGCCATGCCGGGTACCCATTAGCAACGGGGTATTGGGCCATGCAGTAGGTGCGCTGATGCTGACCCGTCTGCTGCCAATCTGAAATACTCTGTATACAATATTGTAATGCCAGCTGCCCTCAAATCTGTGGCAAGCCGGTGGTCTGCGCCAAAATGCAGACCAATGTTCCCTTACGGGGCTGAAGTATATAATACTGAACGCTTGACTCGGCGAACTGCACCAAATAAGCCGCTGCAGTGCCAGCTGCTAGCGCCGATGGTTGCCCCATGCCCTGTGACAATCATGGCCGATCTGATCTGGCTCAATGTAGTAGTCCAAGGGGGCGTAGAACCTGTGGTAGCCTTCGTCCGTTTCGGCCCACATTGCCTCTTCGTCAGCCAGCTGCCCCCAGTGGGCTGCGAAAGCGGTAGCCATTGCCCTGCGCAGCCTTGATGGATACTCTTTGAGGGGGGCGGTCCTCCAGCCGCCTTGGCCGTCTCGTCCGTAAGCTCTGGCATGTCCCGTATGTCGGCATAGCTGTACACCAGGTACCGCCCTTAGCTCCTGTGCGAGTTCACCGAGGTGTGCCGCCATCAGACATGTTGGTTTTCTCGCATCCTGCCCGAACTGGCACTGGTCTATGTAGTGAAGTTCGACGCCCGTCTGCTCCAGGAGCCAGAGAGTCTCTGCTCGCTGCCAGCTGCTAGGCGCTTGAGGGCACCAGGTGGCTGGGGCGGGATGCTCGAGTACGGCTGAAACGTTGTACTGCAGGCCCGTGGTGATGAGTAGTAAAGCTGTCCTGTATAGCTCGTTGGCTAGTGCGATCTGTTGATGCTCCGCTTGACTAGCTGCTTGTATGCCCCAGGGGGCTTCATGTGTACGTAGTGGTCGTGGTGCATTCCCCTCGGCGGCATGCCAGCGCGATGAGCACCACGTCTCGCAGGGCGGGCCCGCCACAATACCAAATATTTTGCCCTGTCGTATCGCTGCGCACCAAAACTCGACGACGTCTGGCTTCGTCAGGTCTCCTTTGACGGGGTCTATCTGCACGTCGATCGATAGTACTACCAAGTTGCATTCCCGAATGTTCATCTCGAAGTGGTACTGGAAATCTTCGATTCGACGTCTGCCCGAGACAAGGTGCAGCAAGAACATAGCCGTGGTAACCATGGGCCTGCACGGTGAGAATACGTTTGCAGGTGGTGTAGCTGTTTGGACGTCCGCTGCTGCAGGCGGG